CTGCAAAATGTGAAAGCCCGCAGGTGATGGAGATTTACCGCTGATTACAGAAGTGGCTTTACTGATAAGATGCACGTTAAATATCGCATGCAATTTATCGTGCAGCCCTAGTTGAAAGGGATATGAAAATGTTGCTATCATTTACTCGTCCTCATGTTGTTCCAAACCTGGATGAATTTCTTTCTTCTGCTGAACACAAAAGAAGATATTTTAAAGAATGTTGGTAACCAAACATTTGCTGGTAGCCATTGACTTCCATATTATTTATTTATTTGAGTAAATGATGACAGAATTTACATTTTTGGGTGAACTATCCCTTTAATAACAGCAATTTAATGCTTATTTTATTGTTATTTATTACTAAAGTATTTATTAATAATTGTAATTACCTTTTATATTTTGAATTAAATTTTATGTCCAGTTTTCATCAGATTTTTATTTTAAGTTTTAGTAATTTTATGTGCTTTTGCCATTTTTGTCATTTATTTTTAGCTTTATTTTTATTTCAATTTTAGTTTTAGTCATTCTAGCACGTCAACTAAAACTTATTTACTAACATTTAGTTTCAAAATGTCAAATTTTAAGTTTTTCAAGTTTAAGTTTTCATCTTATTTTATTGTTTATTTTATTTTATTTCAGCTTTATTTCAATTAACAAAAAATGTAATAGTTTCAGAACTAGTTTAAGTGAAAAATAACAAAACTGAAAGATCAAAATTAACAAAATGTGAAAAATCATGACATGATCTGAAGGAAATAACAAGTAAAATGGGTTGTTTCATGTTTAAGTGCTCGAACAAGTGCTTGAGCAGTGTTTTGTCCTCTTTTCTCACACCAAAGGTTTGGAGACAGAAAGCTCAATATCTCCAGCACAAGCAGAATAAAGCTGAAGCTATGACGGTCAAGCGGAAAACTTTAGCAACATCAGACAGTAAAAGTAAAGGTGAGAGCAAAGCTGATCAGTTTATACAGAGTTCTGTCATGAAACTATCGGTGCAGACCGATAGGTTCTAACTCAGTCTGATAATCACATCATTATTCACATGGCACAGCTGATTGGTTTCTTTTCACATCAGCAGCCAATGAGCTTGCTGCTCAACATTCAAATACTTGGCTAATGCTTTGTGTAGCGGTTGCAGTGTGCTTCAGAAACCCTCCACCTTCCCCAGCTCCACCTGTACCATGCATTACCATGCTAAACTCTCCAAGAGTTGTCATGACAGAATTCCAAGTTATCTATCTTATAAATAAAATTTTTACTCATGCATCAACATTTTTCTTGAGTACTTTCTTGAGTATTCCTACATATCTGTTTATCTCAGGCTCCAGTAAAGCTGTCAGTTTGGTGGCAGGATTGGCCCCTCAGGGCCGCTCGTCTCTGGTTATGTCTTTGTCTCCGGCGCGGATACCTGATGTGGATCCCATAGATGCAGCAGCTCACCTGCAGCTGCTGGGCGAATCACTGTCTCTGATTGGACATCGACTTCAGGAGACAGAGGTTTGTGTTGCAAAACTGTCCCTTGTAGAGGCCTGTCCACAAATTAGGTCATGTCCATAAACGTCTCTGTTCGTTCTGTAGGGGATGGTGGCGGTGTCTGGCAGTCTTTCAGTGCTTTTAGACTCTATTTTATGTGCTCTTGGTCCATTAACCTGCTTGACAGCACAAGTTCCCCAGCTCAACGGCTGTCCACGCAGTATCTTGGTGAGACACACATTCACACACTGCAGTTTTTTTATTATGGGGTCCTCAAAAATTCACTGTTTTTATCCAGAACCTTAACAAAAGTTTCCTATTTGCTGTTCAAATAGAAAGTGTATGATTTCAACTCCTCACCCACTTTTTTTGCAGTCAAATACTTTGGACAACATCGCTTACATAATGCCTGGACTATGAATCTCCTAAAAGGCACTTACAAGAGACTGGGTTACATCTGGACGCATTCCCAGAAGCACCAAACTTTTTAAAACTTTTTCTGATCAGTGGACATTCTTCGTCTCTCACGTTTTTAAAAATGGTATTTAAAATGTTAGTCATTTTTTATTGTTGTAAAAAAAGATATCCTATTTTAGAGGACACTTTTGAAGTTTCCCTTTTGTGTTTGTGTTTAGTTTCAATGTCTGTTTTAAGATGTGTTTGTGAGTGTATGTGAGAGTGATCTGATTCACATGCTTTCGTAATGTCCAAAACATTTTATGTTTTAAAATTTGTAAACAAAAAAAAAAAAATATATAAAAAAAAATGTTATATGTGCAGTTTCATTTTAGGGCCAAAATTTTTTTTTTTTTTTTTTTCCTTATTTAATGTTGAGTTAATTTATATCAACAGCAGTTTAACTGCACTGTCATCATTTCATATCTTGCATATTGTATTTTTGTAATGCAAATGTTGTAATAATATTATAATTTTCAAGTTTTAGCACGCTTACAGGGCAAGCATGTATAAAATCATTTTTAAGGTGCAGTAAGTTGTCCTTTTACACCTTAAGAAATTAGTTTCAATTTCACAAATATTTTTATAATAATGTGCACAGACATGAAGACCCCAACCAACCAATGGACAAGGTCCTTCCTCACATAACACTCATTTGGTTCCAGAATAACTTTATCCAATATGCCTATGAATATTTTTTCAGTTGCATCAATAATTGAAAGGTTTTGCTTGATGCAGTGTCCAGTCCGATAGGTATCAGTATGCATAAAAAATTACTTACTGCACCAACAATTTAGTTTACCTTTAAAGTGATCATTTTAAATAAGTGATTGTTGGTAGTTTTAGGAGATGGAGGAAAAAAGTAAAATATATTTGCATTGATATATGTGCATTTTGCATTGACTTATTTTCATTAAATCTCAAAGACCTTAAGTGGGTTTGTTGTTATAAATTAATTTTCTTCATGTGCACATACGGTGACCCCACCCCCCAAAAATATTTGGACATGCAAGTCTGAATTTTCATGTACTAGATTCAAGTTCAAGTGTAACTACGTTTATGTAGTTCATCACATTAAATATGATAATTTTCCATTAAAGAATAGTTTACTCAAAAAATGAAAATTCCATCAAAATTTACTTTTTTCCTTCTGTGAAGCATGAAGATATTTGGAGAAATGTTGGTAACCAAGCAGTTTCAGTTACAATTGACTGCAGTGAAAAAATACAATCGAAATCATTGGGAACCAAAACGGTTTGATTTCCAACATTTCTCCAAATATCTTCTTTCATGCTTCACAGAAGAAATAAAGTCATATAGGTGAGTAAATGATGACAGAATTTTCATTTAGTTCTATAAAGACATTCATACATGTGCATCATAAATGTTAAATATGATCGCATTTAAAAATCAGTTCAAACTATCAACTTTTTTTCTTTAATTGATTTGCATGAAAATCAGATTTTGTATTTGTATTTTGTATGTATTTATATTGCATGTGTTGCTATGATACAAAGAGGGACATTGCCAGGGGTTGATATTTGCACATTTATTGCCTTTTCGAGCCTGAAATTCCTGTATTGCAGCTTTCCCAAAAACATTTTGTGTTGCTGCAAGATTAAATTACCGTGGAATGTCACAGCAGAGGCTAAATATTAGAAAGATAAGATTAACTGCTGCATTTAGCTGCAAATGTTTGAAGCATTGGCTGACTGAACCGAGGAAGAGTGCTCAACTTCCTGTTTGTGATTCCAGCTGATATAAATGCTGTATACTGTAGCCCTTTCTGCACCCAGTTCATGAAAACAGACACACCTAAGAAGTCTCTGTAAAAGGTGTGATTCAGAGACAGAGAGAGGAGGTGGGCGACCCAACAGCATCACATGTTCGGGCAGAGCCACGCTCACTGCCGGTGTTACGAGATTTTCGGTTTCAGTGGGCGGAGCTTACATGAATATTCATGAGTTTCCCGGACATGAGCATTTCAGTTCACGCTCCTTGTATCCATACAGTCTATGCTTGTATCTCAGCAGGTTTAATGGAATATTTTAAAAAAGGTAAATATATTTACAGCGTTGCACAAACCTATGCCTAGACTACGTTTGTTCATCATTTTCTAACAGTTTATAATGTTTTCATTAGTTTGCACCTTTTGTGCAGTCGTCACTGACTGAATGATTGAGAAAGGAAAAATTTAAATCGCATCATATGACCCCTTTAAGCTAGTTGTAACTTTCTTTGATTTCAGTTCTTGTGCTGTAGCTTGCAATGCTTTAAAACTGTGTCTGTTGTTAATTGTTTTCATTTTAATACAACAGCTGAAATAAACGTGTATTTGTGGATCGTTTTTCATCTATCCTGGTGTGATTGTTCTTAAACAGTTAGGCTTAGGCTGTATTTACAAAATGAATAGGAATCTAAGACCACACACAAGCATGAAAGTGTTCCTTTAATAAGTACAATTTTTAAAAACAAAATGTCACTGTCTCACATAATGTCAAACATTCACACCAACACACATTTTACCAACATCTCATCAAAAGCTAATCAAGGCCACAATCCAATCTTTATCACACTTTATTTTTTTATATGTAGAGGCCCTTTTTATTTATTTATTTATTTATGTAGTCATTTAGCAGACGCTTGGCTTTACACATACATACACAACAAAAAGAAAACAAGTAGATAGAATAGAAAAAGAATAGAGAAAGCTACTGTTAGAGGCCTTTAAAAAAAGAAAAAGAAAACAAGCAGTTGGAAATCGAATAGAGAGTGCAAGTGTTAGAGGGTCAAATATAGATGGAAGAGATGTGTTTTTAGCGGTTTCTTGAAGATGGCTAAGGACTCAGCTGCTCGAATTGAGTTGGGCAGGTCATTCCAGCAGGAGGGAACAGATTATGTAGAAAAAAAATCCTAATTAAGAGTATATATGTTTATGAAACTTTATGACTTAGCCTATAAATAATGTTGCATGAGTGTTTGTTATGCATCAAAATAGACCATGCATTTTTATCAATGATCATCGTGTATCATCCATCATTGTGTATCATCCAGGTACAGTGCAACACATGGTCAAAGAACAGATGACAGAGAATAACATTATGGTAGTGAATGTTATGTTTTAAAACTTAAAAGGTAACAGAAGATCATAAAAATAAATAATTGAAATGGTAGTTGGATCTGCGCTACTATTGGAAACCTGTGTAGCTGTAATCATCCATCCATTTTACATTGGAAACATGAAAAAATAAAGAAATTTCAGCAACATGTTTTTGCAGCACTGTGTAATTGTATCATAGTTTATAACCAGACAGCAGACAATTCACAACCAGACAACATGGAAAATGTTGAATGGGGTAAGTTAAGACATGGATCATCACACCAGTATACAATAAAAATAAAAATGTCCACAGATACGTTTATACAGGTTTATTTCATTTGTTGCAGGCAGTGATGTATTCAACAAATGATAACAACTAATAACAGTTTTAAAGCATCACAAGCTGCAAATGAAGAGCACAAAGAACCGAAATCAATGTATACAACTAGCTGAAATTTGCTGTGTTTTATCCTAACATTACACAAAGAATGCCTGCAATCATTCAGTCAGGGACGACTGCACAAAACGTGCACTGTAAACTAATAAAAACATTATAAACTGTTACGAAATGATAAACAAATGTAGTTTGTGCAACACGTTTTTGTTAAATGTGAGCCAAAATCATCACAATTAAAAGAACCAAAGACTTAAACTACTTCAGTCTGTGTGCATTGAATTTATTTAATACACTTGTTTCACAATTTGAGTTGAATTACTGAAGTAAATGAACTTTTCCACGACATTCTAATTTATTGAGATGCACCTGTATATCTCCCATTAAACCTGTTGAGATACAAGGAGCGTGAACTGAAATCCTCAGTTCCACCTGGTTCGACGCGCATGTCCGGGAAACTCATGAATATTCATATATGCCCCGCCCACTGAATCGGAAAATCTCGAAAACCAAAAATCTCGTAACACCGGCAGTGGGGGTCCGGTGTGAGAGGCGGGCGGCAACACTGGACTGTAACTGGAGCACTGATGGCAGGAAATGACGGTAGCTCTGGTAGTGTAGGAAAGAAGATACAATTATTTCTCGCATCCGAATAGGGCATACTAGATTAAATTACTCTCTGTTTAATATAGGAAAACATGAAACAGGTCAATGTATTTTTTGTAATCAGGCAGAAACAATAGAGCACGTTTTAATAAAATGTAAAAAATATGAAAAAGAAAGGTTAAAACTCATTAAGGAAGTAAGAAACATGGGTGTTGAATCATTTAATTTGTCAAACCTCTTGAAAGAGCATGCAGAACAAGGTAAAATATATGGTGCTATTGTTAAATACATTAAAGGAATAGGATTAATCAGGAGAATTTAGGAATGTGTGTGTTTTGGTTTTTAAAAAAAATAAATATATATTTTGGTGGCGGTAAATGCACCAGAAGTTGGGTGGCCATCCGCCATAAAACGTTATTAGAAGAAGAAGAAGAACACCGGCAGTGTTTTGACTGAACAGCAGGAGGAGAAACAGGAAGTACAGAGGAACACAGACCAGGCCATCTCATAAGCACACGGTACACAAAAGAGCAGTCTCTCGCTTGAAGGTAAGCTTCTCAAGCCTGTGTTATTTATCAGCTTTCACATAATCAGAAGCAGACATCGGTTGTTTGGTATAGCACACTTCGAGAGGAAGCTGAACACTTATGTTTTAGGCTGTTTGTAAGCTGTCAGTTGAAATGTAGCAGTGAAAGTGCTTTCCTGAGGTATGTGAAATGTGTGTTTGGGTTCCTCTGTGCTGAGTCATCTGAATGGAACACCCTTATTTTCCCATCAGCTGCTCTTTAGTGTGCTTTTTTTCATAATCTACTGCAAAATACATTATGTTCTGTTCCCTTTCAAGCCGCAGACTATGGAGGAAAATACAACACAAGATGAAATTCACCAGGAAGAGAAAGACGGATCGGAAAGCAGTGAAGAAGGGCAGACAGATCTTAAGGAAAGAGGTTTGAAGTCGCTTCCACTTAAGGAAGTTTACTTTAGTTTCAGAAATTATGTTTGTATCTGATTTACATTAGCCAAAAAAAAAATGTAGCCTTGTTTTATGGACATCTACTATGGTAATACCTTGTTTTTGGAAATGTACCGTTGTAATATATCCTGAATCTTGATGTCTACTATAGTACCATGGTGTTTTTTTGAGTGCCACACTGTAAGAAAAGTAATTTAGATTACCAGGCAGGTTGAATAATATTTTTGATTCAGATTGATTACCACATGAAACGCATGTTTTAGGTTGCAAAACAATTTTGCAGTGCATGTAAATACCACAGTACATTAATTACATAGTGGGTTATATGAAGTCTTTAAGTAGACACTCTCATAAAAAGGTATAAAATCCTGTGGTACTAATATGCACACTTTAAGGAAAAAGGTACTGCCCTGGTCACAGCTTTTGTACCTTTTTCCCCTTATATGTACCATAAAAAACATAAGCCATAATTTTGTCCTTATTTTTCTTTCCCTTTAAATGGCTTGGCATTTTTCCTAATAAACTGCAGAAACTCTTACTGAGACAAACATGTTTTTATTTTTTGGTGTTTTCTCTTGCTAATAGCATCTTTTACAGTATGTTCCTCTCCCAACACCCAAAGTAAAAAGGAAACAATTTTATAAGCATCGTCATTAAACTGTCGGCCCACCCATTAGCAGGTGGAAGATACTTTTCTATTCAGAAAACAGCCTTGCTAAAAATAAAAAGCTGAGCCGCATGAGTGGAGTGTAGTGTAGAGCTTTATTCGTGTGTTTAAACGGGTGTAACCATAACACACAGCCTGCTGACTGCAACATTCACAGCTTTTAGCAAATCCAGTCTTAAACCGTTTTATTAAATATTGCAGTTTAAGTTTCATGTCATGAAAAGGTGTTATGTGTCAGTTCAGTCTTTAGGTGACGCTATTGCATACAAATGATGTGATGCAGAACTAGTAAAATTGGCATTCACATTATTATTATATCCTGATAATCCGTGTGTGTAATACATCATAAAGACCCTGCTGTTTTAGGTATTAAGTGCTATTTAAACTTTATGTATCAAGTACTAGCACAATTCACTTTTATCTTTTGATGTCATAATATAATTGTTACTCCAGACATTTCTTGTTTATGTTCAGCATTCATTTGAACCTGTTGTCCATGTAGCCCATTAATATTTGATCTAAAAATATATTTAAATTGTTTGTTTTGTTTTTTGTTTTTGCGTCACTAAGCACATTTTATTCTTTTCGTTACTTTTCATTTTGTTCATTCAGGTCTCGTGCTATACAGGACCAGTTTATTTATCCTGGCTTTTAGGAAGTTCAACCCACGTGGAATTACAAGCTCCAATATTTGTGTGGAAAGAAAACGATGATTTTCGTTGAGATAGCGAACTGTTGTGCTTGTGAAACATGAATTTCCACTTAAATAGGAAAAATATTAAACACTTCTTGCTTTTTGTTTGCTTTGCTAATAAACCCATATTTGTATCAGTTTGTCACACCATTAACTGACATTGATCAAAATCTGTTTCTTCTTTAAATATTAAAAGGCATTAAATTAAACATTGTTCACATGTTTCACATGTTACAATAAATCAGCTGATATTGGATCATATATACAATACATTCTGTATACTAAAGCATACCACTCAAATAGATTTTAAAATAAAACTCAAATTGTTTTAAATCAAATGTGGATTTAAAAAGTGCAAAATTAATCTGCCATGCAGTTATAAATTTCATATTTTAATATGCCAGTATTGTAATGAAATTTTCAGAAATGAAATGTATTCATTTAAAGATGAGATTGAATTAACCCTCATAAAACCAATTACACAACTTTGGGTCATTTCATTTTTTTTTTCCATTATTTATTCAAAAGTAAATCTGAAATGTAAATAAATCAACAGAAATATTTTATAATATTATTTGGGGAAAAAAGCCAAATAAAAGTGGTTTCTTTGTAAGTGATGTCTGTCTTTAATAACGCTCGGTTTCTCTGTTTCTGTCTGTGGTTCTAGAGTTGAGACTGGTGCTGCTCGGCTCAGAGGGTGCTGGGAAAAGCAGTGCGGTCAATGCCATCCTGGGTGGCTTGACATCTGAGTCTGACTGTACCGGCCCTGAGACACCAGCCACCGACTGCCAGAAGAGACGTGTGGCGCTGGCAGGACGACAGGTGTGTTCATGTCTCACTTAAAGCTCACTTTCAGGTACCTGATCATTCAGTTCTGCACAGTTTTTGTGTAGTTTTTAAAAAAAGAAAGTTGCATCAAGGCATGTATGTAATTTCCTAGTATGTGACTAGGCATATCAAAAGCATTTCATAAAATGACGTTTATGTCTGCATGTTATGTATGCATGTCCTAAACCATAACATATATTGTACACATTTAACAGAAGTTTAGCAAACTTTAACTGCCTTTTGTTTGTTTGGTTGAAAGGTGCAATTATAAAACTAGTAGTTCATAAAACTGAGATGCCACCTGGGAGATTTAATTAGATTTAATTAAAAATTATAGTTTTTTTTTTTTAAGAACGTCAGTCCAATTTATATTTGTCTGCAAAACTAGTTTAAACCTTTGATTCAAAAAGATAACCATTTAAAAAATGAACATAAAAAGTGTTTACAATTTACAATAAGGTTCCTTTCGCTAACATTTAACATGAAAATGTAACAATTGTTAATAATTATATTATTATGAATTTATGATATATAATTCTAATGAGAAATATTATGTAAGTTAACATGAATGAACAAAGAAAAATACTTCTAAAGCATGTATTAATCTCAGTTAATGTTAAGTTCAACATTCACTAACACATTATTAAAATCAAAAGTTGTATCTGTTAATATTATTGGATATTCCTCACCTAACATCTAGCGTAGCGTTAGTTATGGCAGGTCACGTTACAATACATTTATGTTGGTTCTGTTCTGTTTACCCTGGGTGGGGTTATCGCTGCTCTCCCTGCTCTCATCCATGCTAGGCTGCATGGATGCGCAGGGAGTTCTTGCCCAGAACAGCCGCCAACCGCCAATCCAAACTGTATGCTAATTGTCAGTCATCTTTGATGATAGTGGTCCTGACAGAAATGAACAATGAACAGTTGTATTTTTAATAACTAACATTAACAAAGATTAATAGATACTGTTACAGATGTATTGCTTATTGCTGGTTAATGTTAGTTAATGCATTAACTAATTGTGCCTTATTGCAAAGTCTTAGCAAATATATTATACATATAACAATATGCTTGTGCCATTCAAAGTGGTCTAGTGTTACCTAAGGTTATACTAATAAACTATATTACACCTTGTACTTGGACATCCCTTTCATGGCTTTTTTTTTTGCTTTTTTTTTTTTTTTTTTGCTGTATTCAAATAGATCCATTAGTGCTCTCTTATTTCATAGTGTATTGAAGGGGCCATTTCTAAAAAATATTTCTTTGTCTTCTTCTCTGCACAGGTGGCTGTCGTGGACACACCTGACTGCCTGTGCATCGAGCGTCCCGCTGAGGACGTTCGCCGTCAGTTTTCGCTCTGTGCGGCTTTATCGACCCCGGGGCCCCACGCTTTCTTGCTCTGTGTCTCTGTTCATCGGCCCAGCAACCTGGAGCTCCAGATTTTGGAGACCATCGAGAAGGTATTTGGCCCTGAATCTGTCAGTAAACACGCAATGGTGCTCTTCACTCGCATGGACCGACTGCCTGAGGATGTTTCTCTGGACGAGTATCTCAATACACAACGGCCTGACTTGCTAGAGCTTGTGCAAAAGTGCGGGGACCGACATCACCCGCTGTGGCCGGGATCCAGCGTGGAGGAGCTGTTCATAAAAGTGGAGGAGATGGTGGAAGAAACTGGGACACAGTTCTACACCTGCCCTCTGTTGCAGGAGGCAGAGAGGAGAGTGAAAGAGAAGGAGGAGAAGATCTGGAGAAGCAGAAGAGAAGAAGGAGAGGATGATTTGGAGGGAATAAGGGCCGAAGCAGAGAAAAGTGTGGACGATTTGGTGGTTGAGGGAATCGCAGAGCTCTGCGTCTCCCCACCTAACACCTCGTTCTTATGCTGGTTGTGGGACAGTGTGGTCGGGTGGCTCCTGTGGCTCCCGAATATGGTGAGGGGCAGTGCTTTACTGGGGTCGATCGTGGGGTTGTTCGTCGGGGGGCCCTTAGGAGGGGCCATGGGAGCAGCAGTGGGCTCTGTGGCGACGGAGGTGGGTAGACGTAAACAAAAAACCAAGTGAGCACTTGAAAATTTTGTAACAGTTTATTGTAATTTTCATTAAGTCAATATGAAACATCAAAAAGCAGGTCAGTTGTTCATGTACATTCAATTACGAATATATAGTCAGCTACAAAAGTCACTACAAATGCTAATGCAATGCTATTCCATTAAATACATGCTTTTTTCCCCCCCATTACAAACTGTATTATTAACTTAATACTTAGATTTGAATTGAACAATTAACATTAATTTCAGAGTCTTAGATTTTGGGGTATCCACCTTTTGATTTAATGACAGAAGCACTTTACACAAGTTTGTGTAAAACTGATGATCAGGTCCATGTTTGCTTGTTTAATTTCTGATCCAGAAATAGTGCGGAATACTAAAATATTTCTTATTAATTTTACCTTATGACTTTTTTTAAAATTTTAAATGAAAACTTTCCATTTATATCTCTTTAAATTAGATGTAGAATTTAGATTTTCAGTTTATTTGTATGATTTTTAATCATACAAAGTTTAATATATAAATAAATAAATATAAACAAACTTTAATGTGTGTAATCAAAGCAATTCCAACTAGTTGAATGTTTATTAACCAATGATCTGTTAAGCATTATATATGCAGTAATGTTTGTTAATGTTACTCATGAAAAATATTATAAAGTGTTACCAAACATTCAAGTGCTTAAAAGAATCTTTATAGCTTAACACCAAAAGCAAGTATTACAAAGTCAATTTCTAATGGTGAGCAGAAGAGAAGGATTAAGAAGGGATTAATTTCTCAGACGTTTTGTGTACACCGTTAGTTTTGCACTAAAGCTTTTTTTGCCTTAAACACTAGATGCTATATGATTGTGTTTTGAGTTTAAAAAGCATCTATTCATAAGCACTGTAGAGCAATGGAGTGAAGATCACTGTCTTAACACTGTCACCAAATAGCTTTATTTCACACATGCACGAGTAAAAATCACAGTATCACTTTTAAGTCTGAAGCGCTTTCTTTGAAGTAAGCATTGAACTCTAAGCGCACTATAAACTCAGGATTTGTTTACAGGCCATAAACATCTCCGGATCTAGGTGCATAACAGTGATTTTATTACATCACTGTTGCACTAAACAGCTGCTATGGAACAAATGCATGCTACACATTTTCAGACTGATCGCATGAGCATAAATTTAATAACGCTCCTCATGTAAGTGTTTTTCATGTGCAATTTTGCCACTTAATTGGTTTGCAGTTCAAATGTTTCTGCAGCTGTTTTGGAGTATGAAAATAAAGCGGCTTAATGAAAACAATCAGTGATGGTGTGATTAATTTCTGTGTTTTATTTATACGCACATATGCAATCACTGGTTTCAGTCATTGGGTTGGAGTTAAGAAATAATAGAAAAAAAAAGATAACAAATATGAAATCCCATGCACATATGGCCATATATATTAAATGCCAGTATTTATTTGTGATTAAATTTGAATTTTCTTAATATTTTCATAATATTTAAAAACATTAATATATACAGTGTATATATATATATATATATATTTGTTACCAATATTGTAATATATGTACATATTAAATAAATTATATTTAAAAATATGAAGTAAATTAAAGTTGCATATATGCACATATAAAACATTTGACATCAAATCATATATAATAAACAGTGGCACAAAGCATTTGGACAATTTAAGGTCACACTTCTTCACAATTGTTGCTGAATGCTGTGGTGATTTTTAGTGGATTTAAGTAAGATTTCCTCAAGTTTGCATGTGTAGTTCATCACATTAATTATTAATACGATCCATTAGTGTTTAATAACCAGAAAGTGTCCAAATAATGTATATCGTGTACATTGTTATTTTAGCATTTATAACCATTTATATTAAGTGTGTTATATGGAATGTTTTGCTTGAAAGTGTGCTTGTGCTATCTTTTTTTAAAAAGTACATGTTTTGTTATATAATACAAAGATTTTCATACACACAAGTGCTGCTTAAGTGTCCCGAAACCATTTGGAGCCACTGTATCATATATCCATGTATTTACTGTAGGCTACATGTATTGTCTGCCACATATCGCATTTCTGTATGGGATTTGTATGGGACAGAGAGGATGTGTCTCTGAAAAAACAAAGATCTATGATAAATCCAATCAACCCATCAGCTAAGTCTTTTAACAGCTTCAGGAGCCACAGCAGACAAGAATATTGTGAAAACGCTTTTATACCACTGCAGAAAGACGTCAGACAGACCAATGCAAAGACGTCTCTCTCTCTCTCTCTGCCTCTTTTGCAAGAGCAGGTTTATGGTTTTGACATTGACATAAGTGATAGTCTGCTAAACCCATCCATCAAAAAAAAAAAAACCCATCCCTGGATTTCTGCCTTTAGTACAGCAAGGCGTTTCCTCATGTGGGTGGTCCGCCCAGGGAGAGAGAGCGAGCGAGAGACACAAGCCTGCTCTCATGTTTCTAAGCACAGAAAGAGAGAGAGATGTACAGAGAAAGAGCTTGCTGTGGGACGTACATCTGTCTTCCAGATGTGGCTTTATGCAGTTGTTTGAAACAGGAAAAAAGAACATTTAAAAAATAAAGGAAAATTGGTGCTAAACAGATTTTTATTGTCAGGGATTATGGATGTAGTGCTCTATAGATTACAGTATAGCAGGCTGTGTATGACTCAGCCAGTACTGTATATTTTAACCTCAGATCCATCTTTTAAAAAACGATGCAGGAATGATGTAGTGCGGTCCCCTGCGTACTTGGACTTGTGGATAACGTGTTTAAAAAGGAACACCTGTCCAAATATTATTCTGTCCTATTGGACATGCGTCTGGAAGAGGACAGGGAGAGAGGGGGATGAGAAAATGAGGGAGAAATGTTGTAAAAGCAAGCAATGGAAAAAATGAAAAGGAGGGGACTGTGGATTAAAATAAGAAAAAAAACTGTAAAAATATGAACACCCGAGTTTGTTTCCCCCACATAAAAAACACTGAATGTTCTTTTCACGGCTATATAGTTAGCTCTCAAAGGACCCGATGCCCTTGAGAACCGACACCGTAATGATTTGTGCCGGTATGTGTAATACGGGCCAGAGTCTCGCGGAGTCACAAGTGTGGCCCATCTTTAAAACGGTAAGGATGAGTTATGCCGCTGCGGCCCTCAGCGGAGATGTTGTTATAAGGGCCTTGTGGTCCACTCAGTGAGGAGCAGAAGCAAACTGCAGATGCCTCGGCTTCGCTCTCTTAAGACCTGTGGCCTGAGAAAGAGCAAAATCGGAGCAAAAGAAACCGAGGAGGGACACACACACACTTTTCCCACAGCGCGCACATCATCTTTTAGCCGTTAGCTCGCTCTGTGCGCTTTTCAAAATCAAAAAGCCGTGAACGCTCGCTAATGTGCAAACAATGGGCTGCGGAATCGATTACAAATGTAAGATCTCTTGCCATTTTTTTATTTTTATTATTAAAGTAATATAATAAGATTACAGTTTTAACTAGGAAATACCGTTTTGCCACTTTAAATCTAAGCCACTTTAAGCTTTTGTCGAAAGTGTAAAAAAAACTATATGAAGTAGCGGGTTTTCGTTGGTTGAAAATTATAACAAATCGTTGAAATAACGGAATATTTATCGTGTATATCGATTTTTGTTTACAAAAGGCCTAAATTGAGAGAACGCACAAATGTTTTTCAAGGTCTCACACGGTTACTTCCTGTTTTTAGATAAGCCAGGCAGCTCAGTCATTTCCGGTCAACTGTCAAAATCAGCTGCGGAGCGCCCTTTGCTCAGTTTCTCTACATAATCCATTAACAATTTGAAGAAAAATGTTGTTTGTCTGTGATTGACGGTGAAACTGTAGCGATGTAGGAAACGAACTAACTGACAAGCCTATGTCAAAAATATCGTGTATATCGATTTTTGTTTACAAAAGGCCTAAATTGAGAGAACGCACAAATGTTTTTCAAGGTCTCACACGGTTACTTCCTGTTTTTAGATAAGCCAGGCAGCTCAGTCATTTCCGGTCAACTGTCAAAATCAGCTGCGGAGCGCCCTTTGCTCAGTTTCTCTACATAATCCATTAACAATTTGAAGAAAAATGTTGTTTGTCTGTGATTGACGGTGAAACTGTAGCGATGTAGGAAACGAACTAACTGACAAGCCGATGTCAAAAATAAACCTGTGCATCAAGTGATTCAGACTAAATTCAGAGTAACAAAACTACAGCAGCAAGTAAATTGGCTGAATGTATATTAGCTTCTACAGTTAAAAATAAAACTTTAAAAAATGTAGTTTTTAAATTAAATCTAAAAATATTTCAAAATATATAATGCATTATTTAATTGTTATACCATTAATAATTAGCTTAATTTGTAGTTAACTAGTTAAGTATTAAAAAAAAAAAACCCTTATAGGCTATTGGCGTCTGGGCGTATTTATTTTTTAAATGACATGAGACTTTGTGACTTCCTGCACTTGCTGTACTTTATACTTAAGTACAGTAAAAGTACTAAAATTTGTTATAATTTTATAATATATTCAAAAGCAAGACGTGAAAAAAACTAGGGAGTTGAAATTGCAACTGAGCTCATGAGTGATCTTCTGCTGCCATCTACTGGTTATAATGATAATTTCATGTAATTTTCATCTTAAAAGTCTTTGTTTTCAGCCAGGAGACATTTTTGGCACATTTTTTCATGTCATCTTCAAGAATCAACAGGGAATCTTTAAAGTAAATTTTACTGCACAGCTGTAGAGTTGAGAAATAATAAAGGCTTTAAAATATTATGTTTTAAAAATGTGTTCATGACTATGAAAGTAAGTTATTGATTATCAAGAATACAATTATGTAGTTTACGAGATAGCATCGCTAGCAAGCTAACGTTAGCCTAAATAATTAGTTGTCAGCATTTAAATGCACAATTATGTGTCTAGGTACTCTCCTGGGATTGCCAGGCTCGGCATATAAAACTATATGTTGCTAAATAACACGAAACTTTATGTTAATGTCGCCATCATTATTTACGGTGTTGCAATTATTTTGTTTCTCAGTTTCTGACAAGAACAAAGCAGGAAAGGTGAAGGTCTCAAGAGTCTCTACCTATATATACCACAACGTCAAATGACGCTTCACCGGAAGTTTACGAGCTGGCTTATCTTTATGTGGAAGTTTTAAAGGACGCTCCGTGCATAGTCTATTCCATATCAGTATATGAATGTAAAATGAAACAAGATACCTTCTGATGTTCATTCATGTTCATTTCGTGCTATAATTAGTAAAGCGGAAGAGATGATCGGTCAACGATCCGCTTGAACTGAGGCGCTACCCCTATGTGTTGAAGAGTGACAAAACAGTATTTATTGTTTGAATATCTTAA